CCAGCCTAGGGTGCTATCATGAGTTAGAACTCATGGGTGTTCTTATCCCCTGCCTGAATTTTTGCTAGTTGTTTCTCTCTCTCTCTCTCTCTCTCTCTCTCTCTCTGTGTGTGTGTGTGTGTATGTATGTATGTATATATGTATGTCAGTGCATGTTTGTATTAGTGCACATATATGTGCATGTGTATGGAGAAGCCAGAGGTCAACCTCAGGTGCCATGCCTCAGGAGACATCACTCTGGATTTTGTTGTCATTTGTTTGCTTTGTGTTTCATTTTGTTTTGTTGAAAGACAGTCTCTCAATATCCAGGCACCCTAAAATATTTCTTTTCTTTTCTTTTCTTTTTTTTTTTTTTTTGTTTTTTTTTGAAAGGGTTTGTTTGTGTATCTCTGGCTGTCCTCGAACTCACTCTGTAGACCAGGCTGGCCTCGAACACAGAAATCTGCCTGCCTCTGCCTCCCAAGTGCCGGGATCAAAGGTGTGCGTCACCACTGCCCAGCCCTAAAATATTTCTATTCAACTCTCTCCTCACCTCACTCTTAAATTGAGTGTGCTATATATTATATGTCCTAGAAGCCTGGCTGACAAGAGAAAGTGAGTCTGAAGAAGAAGGAGAGAGAGAGAGAAAGAGAGAGAGAGAGATTGGCAGACTAGGGTGAGGAGCAATTGGTGAATATTTTGGTGTAGTTTTTAAAAACTCATTTTAGCCTTTTGAATAATTATTTAGAAACATCTGCCAATAAGGTTAAAGGTACACATACTTTATGGTCCAGAAACACCATTTCTACCAACTCACATAGTCCATACACTGGAAAGCATGTATAAGAATGTTCACAAGAGAATTACGCAGTGAAATACTGGAGATACAACCTACACATCCGCATTCATATCCACACACTGAAAAAAATATATCAGACCATAAGAACACTGCACTATAGCCAACTGTGTTCATACAAATGGCTCCAACAAACACAGAAAGATAAGAAAGTAATTTGGAAGGAAGACCATGTACCATGCTTCCCTGTCTATCCACAGGCTATAAGCATGCAAAGCAGGCTATCCACTGTTTAGGAATACATACATGCAGCAAACAACTGTAGGAAAGACAGGGAGGGATAAAAACCCAAACTGGAGATAATATTTGCCTGTGACAGGAGAAGGGCCAACATCAAGGCATCTGTGGGGGTCTTAACTACTTACTGACTTGACTAATTGACTGAGTTGTTGAATGATGAACTTTTTTTGAGACAGGATCTCACTATGTAATACTGGCTAGCATTGAACTCATAATCTTCCTACCTCAGCCTCCTAATTGGTAGGATTACGGGTATACACAATACACCCAGTAGTGTTTTTATATTTTGTACCATGTGGTTGGTACCTAGGTTTTAGTTTATTATTCTTTGTACCTTCTGTATATCTCAAATATTTCACAGTTGTTTTAAAGAAAGGAAAGTAGCAACAGTTCTGAATGTTTCTGAAGAAATAAGAGGCTTTACGAGCAGTGTTTGATTCACTTCTTACAGTTTTCTCATCCTTTGTCACTCAAAGTAGCTGAGACTATCCTAGGTTTCTGAACTTCTCTGAGCCAAGGTTCATTTGGTGGCAAAGTGGTTTCCATGTGCCAAATCCCAACCCTGAAATGGCAATAGCAGCACCACTGGGAACCATGCCAAGAAAGCAATTAAGAGAATAGGTTTCCTAGTAGGAGACATTACAGGAATCCTGGGCAAGTTCAGGGTGTGTTGATGGGCCCTTCAGTGACCTCAGAGGCTGTATCAGAAACGTGCTTCCTACAAGAAATTCTTCAGGGCAAAGAAATGGGTTGAATAAATAGCTCCCTGCCTCTCTAAGAGACAGACAAGTACTCCTAAAGGACACTAACGGTCAGCTGGAAGGAAGTCCTTCCGATGCCCCAGCCTACCCTCACCCACCTGGCACACCTCACCAAAAGAGGGCACTCCAAGAGGCTAGCATCCTGACCACACTTCCCTGGGACACCCAAAGGCTGTCCTTTCAACTGCAAACCTGCCATGCTTGCTGACTCTGTAGCTCTGAGAGGTCTTCCTGTGGAGACTAAAGTCACAGGGCCTTGGTTCATCAAAACAGTTGGTCAGAGTCAAGAACTGAGGGTCCAGTGCGCTATATTTTGTATGGGACTGTAGCAGGGTGGGAAGGGGAAAGGGAAGCAAAAACAGGATTTGAGATGTATCTCTGACATCACCAGGCTCCCACCATTCACCAAGACTATCTTCTGTCCGTTTTTCCCAAAATAATTTTTTTTGTTATTTTTGTTTGTTGTTTGGTTTTTGTTTTGTTTTGTTTTGTTTTGTTTTGTTTTGTTTTGTGTTTTATTTTCAGATTCTCATATCTGGTCATCTCCCTCTGTTTTGTGCTTTCCTCCCAAACAGCTCTTTTTAGGACAGAGGCAAACTGTTCTGGTTCTTCCTTTGGAAATGCCTCCTATCTTCTTAACCACATTTCTGTCCGTTCTTGGAACTTGGTTTGAATTACTGTCCATAGTCCAGAACAAGACAATGGAAGGGCTTCCCAATAAGGCTCCAGGGGCAGATCTTGGTGGGGTAAATCGTCCAGAACCTGAAGTGTGCAGACAAGGGTGAGAAATGAGTTTGCTCTATTTAGAGCTCTGCTTAGCAGTCTCTGCTGCTTAGGATCCATGAACATTTCATTGCTACCTTCTCAGAGCTGTGTGGCTTGGGAGGTGACACGGTGGCATCTGAAGGGCCTGAAGGGAGACTTGTTCTTCTGGGATTTGTTGCCAGGATTGCAGCTTGAAGGCTGACTCACCCAGGGAGGGCTGGGGACAAGCCAAGGATCAATGGAAAGACTCTAGGGTCATACACGATGCCCTTGGCTCTGCCAGCTCAGCCTGCTGGGGGCCTGCCAGGACTCACTAGGCAGGCAGAGATTAGCTCAGGGAGGCAACATTATTCTGCAAAACTATTCAGGTTACACACACATACACACACACACACACACACACACACACACATCATTACTAGGACAAGGATACATTTTCTTCCTACAGATGCATCGAAAAGCAAACTGTTCTTATCCCTCATAAAAAGCCAGAAATGTTAGGAAACTGCTCCTTCCTTCACTAGAAAGCCTAGAAACACACACAGTAGGTTTGTCTGCTCTGGAAGGCAGGTTTCATGGCCACTCGCCTCGATATTACCTTGGCCATTCTCCTGAAACTCCAAGCCTGGTTGCACAGCAGAACCAAACCTCTTCTGTTTCCTCCATTACTGACACCCCACCCCCAAAACCAGTTCACATGAACTTTATCTTAGATAAGTCCTACTAGTAATTGCTGCAATGGAAACTAGAGGACAAACAAAAATTACCCCTAAGAAGATAACCATGTTATGGGCAATATTACGAAGTTATTACAGTATGAAGTTATTGCAAGAATCAATTAAGCTTAGGCATTGACCCAAACCCCTCAATGTCCTTTCCAGGCCCCTGGTAGCCCATAGAGTCTTATAGGTTCTTCTGCCCTTTTCCAGAACCCCTAAGCGCTAAAGCTTTGTGTAAACCTCCTGTCTATCCTCCTCATCACTAAACCTAAAGGGGCTGTCCAGCTCATGGAGAAATTAGTCCCCATGGCCTTGCTCAGCCAGGAAGTCAAAAAGACAAAGCCATTTTTATTAGTCATGGTTCTTTAGAGTCACAGAACATAAGGAATGTCTCTATATTAAGGGAATTTATTGTAATGACTTACAGTCTGCAGACCAACTAACCCAACAATGGGCAACTGTGAATGAGAAGTCCAAGAATCTAGTAGTTGCTCAGTCCCACAAGGCTAGTTGTTTCAGCTGGTCTACAGTAGAAGTAGGTTTCAACAAATGTGCTGGCAAGTAAGTGCAAGCAGGGAAAGAAAAGTGAGCCTTCCTTCTTCCATCATCCTTATATAGGCCTCCAGAAGAAGGTATGGCCCAGGTTACAGGTATATACCAACACTCCTAGATTTGGAACTTGCTTTGTCCCAGACTGGCCTTGAACTCAGATCTGCTTGCCTCAGTCTCCTGGGACAAAAAGCATGTACTACCTTGGCTGGGCCTAAGCTTTTCATGGCCACTATGCCTCAAGATCTGCACCAAAAGAATGTGTCATCTCATGTCAAGATTCAGGTGAGAAGTCTGTGTCATCCAGCCTCAAGATCTGGATCACAAGTGTGCCCTCCATTTCTGGATTGTAGTTTATTCCTGGTGTAGTCAAGTTAACAACCAGGAGTAGCCATCACACCATCTATTTGTGAACCCAAACTAAAATGAGATAGTCACCAACATCTCAACCACAGCTGTGCCTAAAGGCCAAAAGACGGCTGAAGTGAAAGGAACCATAAAGGGTGATTTAAACCATGCTTCTCACTTTGAACATAGAAAATAAGATTCTAAGAGAGGATCTCAAGTTCTGGGCCAACTCAGGTTTCTGAATGTTTTGGGGTGAATGTTTGTTGCTTATTTGTTTGTTGTTTGAGACCTATCCCAGACCTCCATATTTGCTGAAATTGTCAAATCAACTTGGAACTAGAAAAAGGAAGATATTCTCCCAACACACTGAATCTTTTCTTTAGGAAACAAGGTTTTCTCCTAAGGTGAGTAGCTGAAAGTCCTGTAGAGTGGACTATGCTGATCTATCCTTATGGTTCATCCCCCTCACCAAATATAGACTGAGAGGCCCTCTCTAAGGCCCCAGCCTGGACCTGTATTCCTCTTCTGTAAGACTCATTCCATCCACTACTCACAAACATTGGGGTCAGGGTCTCTTTCTTAGCATTGATTGGCTTTCTTCTTCACACTTACTGCAGATTCTCATGTCACTGCCCCTTTGCTTTTTTGGCCTAGACGCTACCTCTTGATCATCTTAAACTTCACACAGTTGGGTAGGGCTGCTATTGATATCATTGTCTCCATCACTCCACTACAACATGAAGAATGTGCCCAGGGATGAGATACAGGGACAGACACAAGATGCAAGTTTTAAATACATCCAAGTTTATTAGGAGCAGGTCATTGTCACCTCAGCAGCCAACTCCCATGTATACACAGTATACACACTCAGCCAGTTCTCAGACCCTCTCATCCTTCTGCAGTACACAAAATGCAAAAGAAGCAAACCCAAAATAAAAGAGGCTCTGGCAACAGTGTCTAGAGTCTCCAGGAGCCAACTTCCAAACTGGGCTCCTTCCAGTCCCCTCCCCAACATGATGAGGTCCATAAGAGGAGAGTATTTGGGTCTAAATCCTCCAATCAGTGCACATATTAGGCAGAAGAGACTAGGGGATCCCTAACCCAAAGTCTTACTGGTCCATATCCCAATGAAGATGTTCCTGGAGCCCCCAGAACATCCTTCTCCATAGGTGTGGGACATCACTTTGACTTTTTATTCCATCATTAGAAACCTGTGCCTTCACCTCATCTCTGCTCAGTACGGTTGACAGAAAATGTTCAAAGGCAAGACAAACTTCCCCAGTTGTCTTCGTCATACTTCTTTTAAAAAGAAGAAATTTTTAAAAATAAAAAATAAAACTATTGTGACAGAAAAAATAAAAGAGTGTGGACACCTGGCATGTGTCAGGAACAAGAGTGACCATCCCTCCTTGAAATGACTTGTAAAACAGCTGACAGCAAAGCTACTCTGTTAAAGGCCAGTCACCTCAGTGAGGGCATCTCACTGCCCATCTACCCTTTCTACCCAGCCTAGCACCACCTCTCCTCACAGGGACAGAATGCACCAAGCACAGGGCACCATGCTTTTATCAGCTAGCAAGGCTCCCCTTCAGCCTCATGCCCTGGGGACCTTTTGTCACTACAGCTCTGAAATACTCAATCCTTCCACCTCACGATGTCTTTCACCAGTGATGGCAGCCCAACCTCAGAGGGTCGCATGCCCTTCACCCACTGTAGGAGCTCTGTCCTAGATCTCCAGCCCAGAGACGGGCCAGGGTTAGAATAACAGTCTAGAGTAGCAGTTCTCAACCTGTGGGCCACAACCTGTTTGGAGATTAATCGACCCCTTTCACAGGGGTTGCTGAGATCATCAGAAAACACAGAAATTTACATTAAGATTCATAACAGTAGCAAAATTTGTTATAAAGTAGCAATGAAAATACTTTAATGGTTGGAGGTCACCACAACAGGAAGATCTGTATTAAAGGTTGCAGCATTAGAAGGTTGAGAACCACGGCTCTAGGGGCTAAACTGGCCCACTGGCTGGTATGTGGATTCTGACTACTAGGGAACATGTAAAAGGACTAACAAAGACCCACACACACACAGTGAAAACAAAGGTTTTGGTCTTGTCTCCATCTAATCCTCTACTAAAGTCTTGTATGCACTGCCGATTCTTTAAAGATGCCCTATCTACACTGGAGCTTCCAGGTCTTCAAGAAATACCCTGCTTTAAGAAACGCCTGGATTTCTATTTCACTGTCATGTCTACATGGATGACAAACGAGTCTCCAGTAGTCCCAACCGGTGACTTCTGAGTGTCCCGAGGTCAGAGTATTGATTCTTAATGTTTCCTAAAACCTGATCCCAAGGAACCTGAGGAAAAAGACACTCTATTCAACTCTGACTTTGTATTTAGAGCCCCCTGCTGATAGCCAGGCTGTGGGAAGTAGGAAAGCTAGGAACAAACTCATCTCTATGGCTGGGCACATCCAGCTGAGACTGATGATAGCACCAAGTTACTTCTGTCCTAGAGAGCATGATCTGAGGTAGCAAACAATGAACCCCGTTTACCTACCAGGGAGGTGAAGGCTAGGAGATGTAATGTAGCATGCCCACAGGAGACAGCAGGAGCTGCCAGGATAGAAGACTGACTTGCCAACATACAGATGCTCAGCACCTCACCCTCCCAGGCACAACCACTCCCCCTTAGTGGGTACACTGGGTATTGTCACTTTGGAAGGTCCATGGTCACTAGGGCAGTGCATGATCTTCATCATCAGCCTCTCTTACATGTTCCTCTCTAGATGACAAAAGTGTCAGAACTCCTTTTCGATATCCCAGGATGACATTCTTCAAGGTCAGATCCCCACAGCTCAACACCTACTCATCCTAACCCTACTGAGAGCAGAATCCTCTAGAGCCTTTGTGTTCCCTGCTTCAGCCACCAAATCATCTCCCCTTTGACGTGGCAAGCATCTGTTTGTCATAGTTGCTCTCTCTTGATCAACCAGTGGTCCCTGTAGTTTCTTGGGCTGCCTTCAAAGCATCAGGGCCCATAGCAATGCTTCTGCAGCTGGTCTAATGTCCTGGCCATCCAGGTTACAAAGTGCTGGTCTTTCAAGGAGGGCCAAGATGGAAGATGAGCAAACAGGGAAACTGCGCCCAAACGAACCCAATCTCACTGTTCCTTTGGCTTCTAGTAACCCCTGAACAGTTTTCCTGTTAGGTCCACATCAGTCAAAAAGAAAAAAGGCAGAAAGCACCACCAGACCCCTGCCTTGTTCAGGGACAGCTCCTGGGATCACCTGAGGGTGCCAAGCTGCAGGCCATGGCTCTTCCAGCAGCCTGTGACCTCCATAATAGAGGCCAAGGTCCCTGAAGTTCTGCCTGGAAGGCACCCAACCTCCAGGTTCCTTGAAAGCTGGCCTTCAGCACCTTCTGCCCAGCACCCATCTGTTGAAGCCTCTCCCCACAACAGGGCCCGAGGAGCAGGGCATGAGGTAGACTATGCATTAGTTAGCTTCCCCCTGCCCAGTCCAAGGAGGAAGGAACCTCTCGCCCAAACCCATGATCCTTGTTCTGGATGTGAGTGACACTGACACAGACCACTGGCCGCTGTCCTCTGCTCCAGCTGACCACGGCACCAGCACAACAGCGGGTGGAGAATAAAGGAGTAGAAGAGACAGTACCCCTCAGCAGGGTCTCAAGACACAGAAGTCTAATTCCTGGGGCTTGCGGCGTAGGTCACACTGGTCCCGAGCCAGCAGTCTGCCTCCGTGACTCACACACTTAAGTGGACGCCTCTTAAATCCACGACCACAGCTCTTAGAACAGGGCGACCAGTTGCCAAGCTCCCAGGTTGGGCAGGGTTCCCCACAGGCTCGCTTCTCCACTGGCCGATGGTCTACATCACAAGCAGAGGCTCCTTGCTGCCCTGGAGAGTCCTGGCAGTCCACTGCTCGCTTCTGTAGGCCACTGCCACAGCTCACCGAGCAAGGCCCCCAGCTACCTGCCACCCAGCGCGCAGGAGGCCTGTTGTCTGGCTGCTCTACTTGGTTGGAAAGGCTGAAAACACTGTTGCGCAACACTGGGGGACCCCGAGGGTCCTTGGGGCGAGGGGATTTGTCTTCCCGTGGCTCTTTGGGCAGGTAAAAGGAATAACGCACACGAGGCGGTGTCATCTTCCCCACAGACAGGACCTCCACGGTTAGTGGCTCCAGGATGGGTCGAGAAGCCTGCAGGCTCTCCACCGCAGTGCCAGTGCCACTATAGCGTAGTACACTCCCCTTTACCACCAGGTCCCGCTCTACAGCAGATACCACAAAGTGCCCATTGAGCAGGTATTTGCCTTGGCTGTTCTTCAGGGCCAGGTAGTTGTCATCCCCAATAAGCCCCTTGTAACCACGCTGGCGGATGTCAATGCTGGAGGCGCCTGCAGGGATAGCCACTACAAAATTGTAGCCGTGCCTGGAGGAAAGAGATTGTACGTTATACAGACGCCAGAACTAATGCCCTTTATCTCCTTAAAAGTTATAACTGATTGTGGGTTTGGGATACATCAGTAAAACGGTGACAGAGGACAAAGCTGATTGACCAACACCATCCAAGGGTCAAGGAAGCTGGAAGCTGAAAGCTGGGCCTGAGGTAAGCTGAATGACTAGGCTGTAAGACCTTGTGATCTTCTTGTCTTCCTGTAAATTTGTCTTTTGGGGTGAATCCAAAGTATAATAAAAACACAAGTTTGAGGCTACCTAACTCCCCCTTGTCTTGACCTTGGTCTTGGATAAGTCTCAATATCTCTGTTTCCTCACCCACTAAAATTCTCAGGCTACACTGTGCTGGCTGGCTTTATGTCAACTTGACTCAAGTTAGAGTTATCAGAGAGGAAGGAGCCTCGGTTGAATAATAAGATCAGGCAGTAGGCAAGTCTGTAGGGCATGTTCTTAATTAGCAATTGATGTGGCAGGGTCCAGCTAAAAATAGAGCTCATAACCACACACACCACAAAACTGTTGGGCGTAGGGGGTGTAAAAAAAGCCCATAGAATATAAATCACAGAACAGAGCATCTGACACAGAGGATTCAATAGGCATCACCGATCAGGGGACGGCCAAAAGGATTTAAGTGTACAGTGCTCCAGTCCAAGGTTGGTTATTGGATGCACTCAGAGTAATGTCCTTGGAGTCAGGGTCAGGAGTCTTGACTCACATACCAATTCCCTTTAAGTAAGTTAGCTAGTTGCTATGGGTTCCTGCATCCTCATCTACACAAGGTGTTAAGTCTCCATCAAGTTCTTCTAACTCCTTGTATATCCACCCCTCTGTATGTCCTTTAGAACAACTTTTTAAAAACCTGCATCTGCAACAACTGAGCTCTGAGAAAAGAAGCCGGAGAACCTCCCTGTGCATCACCCCTAGGGGCTCAGTAGAGGATGTCAGAGTGGACAGTCCCACTCCAAAAAGATCATCTGGCCTTTCTAACTTCAGCACTTGGACCCTAGAAAATCAGAACAGGAACTCAAGCAAGACAGGAACCTGGAGGCAGGAGCTGATGCAGAGGCCACGAAGGGGTGCTGCTCACCGGTTTGCTCAGCCTGCTTTCATAGAACCCAGGATGGCCATCCCAGGTGGCTGGGCTCTCCCCCACCAACTGCTAAGAAAATGCCCTGCACCTACTGCCTGATCTTATGGGGATATTTATTCAGCTGAGGCTCCTTCCTCTCTGATAACTGTAACTTGAGCCAAGTTGACATAAAACTAACCATAACCAGCACAGTGTTGCTCAAGAATGCTAGACAGATGCTAACAACATTTCTCATCTCCTGTTGAGACTTGTCTTCATGCATTCATCTTGATATTCATCTTTGTTTGCTGGCTGAATGGATAGATAGATGGATGGATACATAAACACATAGATGGATTATCCTCCCAAAAAGAGTATGAGTGGCCAACCGTGACAGTATACAAATTCTTACATTCACTCGGCTCTAACCCAATCTTTAAATGCCTAGGAGTAACTCCACTTCCACCACTCCCACTCATTCCCCTTGCCTGTACCCTCCAGGCCCCAGAGCTTACATAGGCTTGGTGAAGAGTCCTGTCACCCTCTTGCAGCTCTTATTGTCTCCACCACACACCCCGCATTTGTCAAATTTCTTCTTGGAGCCCAGGTTCCCATCACAGCCAGCCTTGATGCACTTGCCTTGGACACAGACCGAGGTGGAGTCAGGAGTACACAGTGTACCATCTACCACCTGCAGCATCCCCAAAAAGAGAAGAAGAGAGGGGGCAGCTCAGTGAGATGCTCCTCTGAAGGCTAGACCCTGCCCCGTCTCCTGTCTCTGCACACTCACCTTAGGTGCTAGGACATAGAAGTAGCCGGTACCGTTGGCTCTGCAGATGAGCTTACACTTGTCACGTGGTGACACGCCTGAGTACTTAGGTACCCATGCCACAGCTAAAGTGAGTCTGTTGGTGCTGTGGTTGTAGCCATTGAAAGCTTCACATTGCTCTTCCCGGAAGCTCTTCCCAGAGGCTGGACAGGGAAGAAGCACATAAAGACAGCTGAAGAGAAGAGCCAAGGAAGGTACAAAAGATAGCATCCCTCCTAAGGATGCCCAGCTCTAAAAGTCCCTCTGCCTCCATGACAGTGTGGGAGTCAACCCCCACCTCCCAAGATCAAAGCAGCCTGCAACCAAAAGACACAGTATACAATAAGACATCCCATAAGCAATATGTCACCACCCCTAGTACTCTAGTCTCAAATTCCCTCTCTAAAAAGTGTCCTAAACAATTTTTTTTTTTTTGGGATAATGAAACCTTTCAGCCCCCATTAAGTCTCTTGTTAAATGCCTTATACAAAGGCATTGTTACATCATTAACAAGAATTATATTAATTAAACAACTACTGATATTCTTTGAAACATACTTCTGATGGATGTATTCTTTGTAATGCGTTAAAAAAACAATATTCAATGATGACGCAAATCATTTCTGTGATTTTGAATTAAGGAGGAACATAATGGCATTTTGAGAATTCTTCAACAATTAAAGTACCATGTAAAAAATATTCAGTTTCAACTGATGACAAAGTCACAGATATTGCTACTTCCATTGTCCTTTGTTGTCTATGTGAAGGAAATATTGAACTTCAGATAAAAAGATTCATTTTAAAAGTGCTGGTAATGCACACCTTTAATCTCAGATCTCTATAGACTGATCTTTGTGAGTTCAAGGTCAGCAGGGATACACAATGAAACCCTGTTTCAAAAATAAATGCTAAATTTCTAATTCAAGGGGAAACTAAGTTTTAGGTAGAAGAGTCATTGAAAATTAAAGTGTAAAAATTTCCCACTAAGTTCATGGACTCTGGATTCCTGCCTAAAAGATGGGTTCGTCAGTAATGTAAAAACTATGAAGACTTCTGAAGGCCCACCCCTCCAGTCAATTGGTCTCCCAGTCTAAGCACCAAAAAGCAAACACCTCTGCCATAGTTGAATGGCTAACGGAATGATGCCAAGAGGAGTCTGCACTTCACTCGTTCCAGCTCTTTCCTGGAAATAAGGATCCTGACTGCACTATTTGGGACCAAGAGTGACCCCCAGGCACACGGCCCAGAGGCCCAGACTACTGCTGCCCTGTATCTCACCTGAGCTGGGGCAGGGCTCCAAGTTGCAAGATCGGTATTTCACTCTTACTCCCTCGCAGTACTTTCCACCGTTGGCAGGGGTAGGGTTGCTGCACTGCCTCCGGGCCAGCTGCACACCTCCACCGCAGGTGCGCGAGCAGGGACCGTAAGGCTCCCATTTGGCCCAAGAGCCATCCACCTGTGTGGAGGAAGAGCTGGGTTACACTCTGGCAGACCCAGGTGCCACACCCAGCCCCTCACC